CGCACCAGCGGGTCGGAGGGGGACAGGGACACAAAGGCCGGGGAGGCCGAGGATGTACCGCCGCACATGCCACATGGTCGATGGGAAACTGCTGCTGCGACAGGCGGCGGCACCACAACGCCAGTGCCGAGTCTCGAGAGCGGCGGCTACGTCTACAAATGGCAAGTGGGTGACTGGTCCAAGTGCTCCCAGGAATGTGGAGCAGCTGGCAGCGGTTTGCAGGTGAGTGAAGAGAGTCCTGTTCCTGGTAGCCAGATTAATGGGCGCAAGAGCGAAGCTCCATTGGCCGACATGCTCGGATGAGACAGAGGAGGACCCAAAGAATTTTAGGAAACGGAAATGGCTGTGGGCTTAAGGTCTTGTAGAACATAAATCCCCTTCAGTCCCTCAACTAAATCCGTTTTTAAGTCTAATCATTAATGAATATGCGCTCTCAGTAGCTGCCTTCTCAGTTCTGAATGGTTCTGTTGTGCAAACAGAGTGTCGTAAAAGGGAAAGAACCCGACGACATTTATGCAATAATTAGGCAAGTGCACAGGACTCCTGGCTCCAGGCTCTCGTTTCTGCCTCAGCTCCAGTAGCCTCATAAAATCAAGCACAAGATTAAATATTTTAACAGTCAAAGGTTTCCTCCTGCTGCTCCTTATTTTATGTGGAAATTTATTCTTCTCTCTCTCCATCCCATTCCATTCCATTCCCAAAGCGACGCACGTTGAGCTGCCAGAGAGAGGCAAAAGCAAAGGCCAGTGGCAGCACTAGCACCAGCACCACCGACGACAACGGAAACGATGTCGTGGATAATTCAGAGTGCACCGCCCACGGCCTGGAGATGCCCGACACGTTCCAGAGCTGCGGCAACGAGGCCTGTCCGCACTGGACCAAGGGCGAGTGGACGCTCTGCCAGCAGTCGAGGTGCCACGGACGGAATACGGCCGTGCAGCGCCGCGAGGTGGGCTGTCGGTACGAGAACGGCACCGTGGGCACTGCCTGCGATGAATACGAGAAGCCGCTGCCACGACAGGAGTGCTACAACGAGCGATGCAAGGGTGTGTGGCGCGTGGAGCCCTGGTCCGAGGTGAGTCCCTTAGTCCTGGCTGGCTTATTAAAGGTATCCATTATTAATCCGCACTCCTCCTGCCCCGTCCATCTCCCTAGTGCAATGCGCCGTGCGGTCGGCAAGGCATCAAGTACCGCATACTGCAGTGCGTCTGGTACGGGAGTCGAAGGCCCGCGGGCAACGTGTGCAAGCACCAGCCTCGTCCGGCGGTCATGAAGGTCTGTAAGAGTCCTGCCTGCCAGGTGAAGTGTAAGTATTGATCGTGGACACACAATATTCTACCATATACCATATATGGCCTTTGATTAACAATTTTGATTTTCTTTCTTTCTGATGGCGCAGTATACCCTTCGGCGGCCCTGCATTGCCGGGACTCGTCGCGCTATTGCCGCAACGCCCGCTCCATGGGCCTGTGTCGGCTGCATCGCTACAAGGAGAAGTGCTGCAGCTCCTGCCAGCAGCAGCCCAACCAATATATATTCCATTAGCTTCTGGCGAGACGGCATAGGCATCGGCAACAGCAACAGCAACGGCAACGACAACTCTACGAATTCTGCAATTCTGCAAGCAATTACTCTAAGTACCCCCCTAAGTACATCTAAAGAACTATAGCAAGAAATTCAAGTTAAACTTATCCATATGTATGTACTACCTGCAACACTCCTGACACTCCCGCACACTTCTGACACTCCTGACACTCCCGACACTCCCGACACTCTGACACGAACACTGACACTGACACCGGCACCGATTCCAGTTGAATATTGTATTGAAATGAGGCCATTAGAAAATAGCAATTCGTTCGATTCGAAATTTGTTACACAGCCATAAACCACAGCAAGAGAAGAGAATAATTTATTGAAATTCCCCCCAAAAACCTAACAAAAACGTAACATGTAAGCATGAGCAAATATTTGCAATTACGAGTAAAGTAAGGATAAATATTGTTAGATCTGCCCCAGGACTCGTTTCACTCGGGCAAATGATTTGCCAAACAAGAGGGAGCGAAACCCTTTTGTTTGGGCCTCGATTCGCCAGGGTGAACAGGAGTCAGTCGATGGCAGCAGCAGCTTTGCTTTAAGCAATTAAAACCATTATAAATTAATGACACGGAAAAATACTATAAAATGCAGCAGCAGCAGCAGAAAGCGGCAAACTATGAGGATTAGGTTACATTTTCACTATGCTAAAAAATACATAAATAGTATGGAATATGGTATATGGATTATGGAATAATATCCAAGTTAAGGAAAAGGAATGTCTAGAATAAATCAACTTAGCAAATAATGAATGTAAAGGTTGATGTATGACTCGACTAATTGCTGATTCAAATCCAAGATGTAGTCAAAATGTTTAGCGAATATCTCCACACTAATCAGCTAAAATCACTAATCACTAAATGAAGCATGACAAAGAAAACAAAACGAAATCCGCACTGTTACCTAATGTGAACCAAAATCGAATATTAACTACAAATATGTATATGTAAATATTATAGCAAATGAGAGATATTTACTATAGAGGCATCTCCTTATCGAGCTGCACCTTGACTATGCCATTGTCAATTTTCTTCACTGAATTTCCCTTGTTTTCTGATTCTGATTCTGCATTTATCAATTATCAATTCGCCTATGCCCCTATGAATATTGTAAATAATCGATTTCGGCAATTCATTTGAAGGCTTACCTTGTATGTAATTTAAACAAACGAAAAAAATAACTATATGAGAACTAAATATGTGTGCGTATTTGTAATTAGTTTTTTATGAGCAAATTGTTTTATAAACCCTAACATAAATTTACATGAGTAACATAAATCAGGCAGCATGTTAGCTGCTAACTATAGTTAATAGCTAACATACAATTAACAGCCGAAACAGAAACATGACGGCAGATCAGATCCAGTAAATGTTGAACGCGTACATACATATTTATATTTAAGCTGTTAAGTAAAAATTATAGATACGATAATTAACGGAAACAGACATAAAGTCAAGGAGAACCGAACCCTAACCAATGTTGAACACAGACAGACCCAAACAGACCCCAACACCCGCACACACACACAGACACCAATACTATCATACAGCAAGGATATGGATAATGTATTATGATCGACGTAAGCAAATACAGCGAAAGCAACTGCTAATTATTGTAAGAAATTAAAACAAAACCGGAAATAAATATTAAATATTGAAAAACTTGTGGCAGAAATGCACTGTTATTATTATTAGTGGTCGCTAAATTGTATTATTGGGGAAAATATCCTTGATCCTTGGTCCTTGATAAGGACTTCGTCAGATCAAGGATTTTCTTCCGATTATAGGAAGCCATCGCACGCATAGATAGGCCCAAAAATAGCCGAGAAAACGAAATATGTAACTCGGAGTCCTTATCCAAGGATCAAGAATATTTTTCCGATCACAGAAAGCCTTAGCACGTCATAATCGCCCCACATATAATGTGGAAAACAAGAAATATGCGACTGATGAAAATATCCTTGATCCTTGGTCCTTGATAAGGACTTCATCAAATCAAGGATTTTCTTCCGATCACATAAAGTCAAAGCACGTCCTAATTGGCCCACAAATAACGTAAAAAACCAGATATATGGGACTGGAGGAGTTATCCTTAATCCTTGGTCCTTCTAAAGGATTCCATCAGATCAGGAAAAATTTTCCGATTACAGGAAGCCGTCGCACGCCCAGATCGGCCCACAAACAACGGAGAAAAGAAGAAAAGAAAATTGCCTTGTATTTTGTTGTAGTTCAAAAAACTGTCGGTAGGGGCGCCACTGTGCAGTAAAAAAACCAGCGACCTTCTGCTCATTTATGTTCGCCTGGTATCCCAAAAAATTTCAGTCGATTGAGCGGTCGCAAAAATGTGCCCCCAAAAGTATGCAACACATTTTGGCACCAACTCAATTTGCAAATGGTAAAACGACTGAAAATTTTCTGGGATACCAGGCGAACATAAATCAGCAGAAGGTCGCTGGTTTTTTTTTACTGCACAGTGGCGCCCCTACCGACAGTTTTTTGAACTACAACAAAATACAAGGCAATTTTCTTTTCTTCTTTTCTCCGTTGTTTGTGGGCCGATCTGGGCGTGCGACGGCTTCCTGTAATCGGAAAATTTTTCCTGATCTGAGGGAATCCTTTAGAAGGACCAAGGATTAAGGATAACTCCTCCATTAACATATATCTTGTTTTTTACGTTATTTGTGGGCCAATTAGGACGTGCTATGACTTTCTGTGATCGTAAGAAAATCCTTGATTTTATGGAGTCCTTATTAAGGACCAAGGATCAAGGATATTTTCATCAGTCGCATATTTCTTGTTTTCCACGTTATATGTGGGCCGATTAGGACGTGCTATGGCTTTCTGTGATCGGAAAAATATCCTTGATCCTTGGATAAGGACTCCGAGTTACATATTTTGTTTTCTCGGCTATTTTTGGGCCTATCTATGCGTGCGATGGCTTCCTATAATCGGAAGAAAATCCTTGATCTGACGAAGTCGTTATCAAGGACCAAGGATCAAGGACATTTTTATCAGCCATATATTTCTTATTTTCTGCGTTATTTGTGAGCCGATTGGGACTTGCCATGGCTTCCAGTGATCGGAGAAATATCCTTGGTCCTTGGATAAGGACTCCAAATTACAGATTTAGTTTTGTCGGCTATTTGTTGGCCAATCTACGCGTACTGGCTCTCTGTGATCGGGAAAGTATCCTTGATTTTATGGAGCCCTTCGCAAGGACCAAGGATATCAAGGATCAAAAATATTAGGCGTGCCTCCCCTTTTTATAATCGGAATAATTTCCGCTCTCTTTTGTATGGGTGATTTTTTAATAGTCTTGTTTTATAGTAACTTAGAAACTACGTTTCTAGATATAACAACGTACAATGTATATCCTTAAACATAATAACAAGATCATTTTAAGTCTATCGCTATGTGTAATAGTTAATTTCAATGAAATCACTGCTCGCCCTACGAGCGTTCCTCGGCCAGCAATATGAACAGCAGCCTCGGCACCTCATCGGTACAGTCATCGGCATCCCAGGGGCAGGAGCATCCAGAGGTCCGTGACTGTATTGTACGCAGAGACGGAAGCCATTGGTAGCCACTGGTAGTTCTGCAGGCTCTCGTTTATTGTAGTACCCCTTGGTCAGCAGCAGAGAGTGGTCTCCTCCTACCAATGTACAGATCGATTCAGGCCGCCGGCTAATTGATGTCCCAGTGGTTGTCATTAATGTAGATTATGGGAAACTTGTGTGGAAAGGCGAAATCCGAAATCACGTTGTGGTTGCTTCTCCGCGGTGGGCTGCAGGAGTTCGTCGGTGAGGCCTGACCTCAAGAGTTCCTCGTTGAGATTGAGGTTCTGATACTGCTGCTGATGACAGTCCACGTCCACATCATTGGGTAGATGCGGCTTGGGCACATACCGCGTGTAAACACCCTACGGCTGAATGGCTGAGAAGGGAAGGAGCGGCGACTTGTCCCTTTTGTCGCTGTGCCACCTCGATGTACAGTTACCCCGGTCCGTGTGGGCCACTGCAGATCGGCTTCCCAATAGTGATATCCTGGAAAAAATATCCTTGAAAATTAAACAATTCTAATATCATTTTGAGGTTCTTACGAACGTACGCCTAGAAGGCATGGCATTGAAGGAGGCAATGGATGAGTACCAGGACTGCGCCGATTTGGAATCCAGTGTGACACACATACAAGTACATATATCTAAAAAAGAATGCACAAATAAAAATAAAATCAAATTAGTATTAATTTTGTCGATAGTATCAATGGGTCCAACACTGTATAGAAACAGCAAGAATGAAACATTAGACAAGTAGCATAAATGACACAATAGCAATGGCTTCCTAGATCATGGTAGATCTATAGTCAGTTTGGACGAATATATCTGTATCAATCCAAGTTATCTATTCTTTAGATATCCCCTAAGAAATTTCAAAATTAGACATTTTCTGTTTCTGTTTTACTTCTTTATTTTTTTGACTTCTGACAAATTAGTGGTAAGTTGCAAGGAAAATAAATGAATGATGAAGAAATCAACTGTATATTCTACAGCGGCTACTCAAGCAAATGCATTATGCCTGACTATTATGAATCGAATCATATGCCAAAATCGCATTGGTATACGATCATCGCTCTGATGGTCGTGCTAGTAGTCATTTTCGTTATCATACTCTTCGTAATGATAATCGGAGTGGCCAAATATAAAAGCGGTACCAATGAAAACAGCAGTAGTAGTAGTAGTAATCCCAATACCGTACGTACCACTACAACTTGGGGAGTTATTAATCCAGGAGTTATCGGTGGCGGCCCTGCTGAGAGCGGTTCAGGGCCGGGACTCCCACCGAATCCGATTGGATGAAGATGCTGGTGGTTTCAATAAAAATAATGTAACAAATACATACTAATTTCTGGAAATATTATTGCATTTTCTTTAAAAATGGCTTTAACACATCGGACCTGGCCAACTTGGAAACCGTTGAAGAGCAAGTGTAACTAAAATTTATATTTTTCGTATTTTCTAAGGAAAACCGAAGTACACCAATTTGTTTGAATTTTATCGCACGCCAGATTGGACCACAAATAGTGGGGAGTTGCAGGCTAAGGACTGAACCAAGGATCAAGGACATTTTTCCGATCACAGAAAGCCATATCACGCCCGGATTGGCCTACAAATGCCACAGAAACCGAAGTTGGTCCACACATTTGAACTTCGCGGCTAAATTTAATAACTAGAGATGACAAAAATAATACGGAAATGATATCGATACTTTCGTTGGTTGTACAGTGGCGCCCCCACCAGGTGTCGCCACCTACTTGTCAAGCTGGGAACTATGGGAAAGGGTCCGATTGTTTCCGTTTCCGCTTTACAGCACTTCAGCTTGAAGTTTTTGGCGCCAAACACCAAACACAGGCAGGCTTAATCTTTGATTGCGAATAAGCGTTACCACTACAGTATCTACGACTATCTTTGCCTTGGCACAGGCTGGAGCACATTTGTATATGTAGAGGAATAGTGGATCTTTGCATTTCCTACGTAGTACGTACATCACATTCTTTGGCACCAAGAAAGTATAGTATAGTATTAGCAAAGCGACGACCTGACGTAACCGTAATTGCAAGAGCACTTTTGCTTCTATTGCTTGTATGTATCATGCCTCATCATGTATCTCATCCTCTCCTATGCGCGGATTCGACAAAGTCGCCGTAGAAACCGAGTCTGCGAGTGGGCGTACAACGGAAATTACCCATTTGTGTGGCACTTGGAGATCGTTAATCTGAATACATCCTAAGCCCAAATAGAAAAAAAGAAGAGCATTTTCAGCCGGCTAAACGTTGTATTCTACTCGTATCCACAAAACAATTGACAATGCAATCCATGCAATTGCATTTTCAATCAATTTAAATGGCCGTCCTGTGACGTCTGTGGGAAAAATCAAATGGAAAATCGATTTCAGATACAGATTCATGAAGAGAATTGGTGAGAGACTTAGAGAGATGTTCTTTTCTTTCGGGAGATCAAGATGCAAGACCCGAATAAACCTCTAGGACCAATGGAGGCATTGGAAAGGTAAGGTACAAGGAAAAGAAGCCCCAATTCGAGTCTAGAGAATTACCTGTCGGAGGATTGGGAGGTCAACCGATTTGGGTAGTATTTGATCAATTTAGTTGCAAAAAAGGGATTTTAATGGCAATAAAAGGCTGCGAAACAATACAAGAACTAAGATGATAGTATTCGAAATCCATTGGGAAACCTACCATAAAGAAGTGTTGTTTCAAAGATCCGAATGACAACGGCGCTCTGAAACAATAAGTGAAATAACAGTAGTAGAAACGGCGGCGCGTTGATCCGTAAAGTACGCTCAGTGTCAAAGGAAATCATATTTTATCCAGCAATTAGCGAAGATGAGCCAGGCCGGGCCGGGCCGGGCAACAGCGATTTGGACTAGGTACGAGTATATGATAGAAGTACGAGTACATTATATACAATGATCCCGTCTTCCAATTCAATTAAGTGGAAATTGTGTCACGCGCCGCTCACTGCGAGAGACTTGTTCCACGGCTTAGAAGTGGCTCTGTCTTGGGATGGCAGGGCATGGCAGATGCTCGGATTCTCGCTTAATGAATCCCGGGAGCGGCACACAGTTTCACTTTAGCCACACAGATTTCTCCACTCATACCGGCCTCCCCACATACACCCCCTCCATATACACACGGCCACGCACACAGGCAATCAGAGAACATAATATTTGATTAAGAACGACACTTGCTGATACTCGGATTATTTTGTCGTGTTTCCAGAAACGATGGACACACAGTCCAGATCAGTGTCGCGAGGCACGCAACGGTGTCAACTTGGCGTGCAGCGCAAAATCCACAGTGTCCGTGCCGATCCCCAATCCACATCCAACTCCAAATCCAAATCCAAACCCAAACCAATACCCGAACCGCAGCCGACCTCGCACCGGAGCCAGGAACAGAAGCAGAATCAGAGTCTCCATCAGAACCAGGAGCATTTGCAGGCCCATCTACAGGTCCCCGAACCGATCCCGACTCTCTGCTGAGCTGCGAAAGCGACAACTCGCATCGGACAGAATGCCGACCATCACCGAGGACTGCATCGATGGCTTCCAGCAGTACTATTCCCGGCCACCGGAACGTCCCAAGAAGAAGTCCCTCAAGCAGATGGTCTACGACTCCGAGAACAACTCCTACTTCGGACGCACCATCGATAGCTGGGGTAAGTCGATAAGTGCCACACGGATCTTAGCTCTATATCCATTACGTAAGTGCCCCACGGCCGCAGTGCCGCAGTACCGCAGACTCAAGTCGGTCTGTCGGTCTGTTAGTCGGTCTGTCTATCTGCCAGTTTGGATTTAATCAAAAGAAATCTCTTTTGTTGTCGCATTAGCGCATACAAATACACATTCAGAATTCAGAATATCAGACCTGAACGCAGAGATACTCGTATTGTATCCACTTAATCCGTCGCTATGCTTCTGCATCTATGAGTCCGTTTTTTATTGCCTGTCCAATGACATTTCGTGGGCCCCACCGTTGGATTCGACGGGACTCGACTGTGAGCTCTGTTCTGTTCTGCTCTGATCTGTTCGGAGGTTCTGTGGGGGGCTTACAAGTACATACCCATAGAGTACTTGTCCAACATATCGGTCAATTATGCCATTATGCAATCAGTCTATGACCCCAGCTACAGCTATGTTCTGTAGAGCAATCTTTTCGACAAATTAAATCCGTTGGAGGCAGTCACCTGCTGTTCAGCTTTGACCCCCAAAAGGTATCCTCCCACGTACCTCACTGATGTCTCAAGGGCCTGAATGCTGCAGAATCCTTTGGCTAAACCGATTAAATAGGGGAATGAAAGAAATTCTGCGCTTAACTCTCTCGAATATGCAAAAGTTTTGGATAGTCGTTCCATATTTTGGCGCACGAATAAAGCGACTGGGCAGGGGGCTTGCCCCCGATTTGATTACTTTGTCCTTCTTTCTGTATCCTGAAATCCATCTCATAATAAAAGCGTATCTACATACATCCTGTCTATAATATGCCTATATCATAGCTGCTAAAAGAGATTCCTCTACCACATAACTTTGGATGATTTTGCAATGAACGTATGGGAGCCTGGAATTGTATTGTATTGGGTTTACCTTGAGGGGGTACTCCACGATGCCGTCACCAGAGCTGGCCCTCTTCCTCTTCGATGTGTCCTTCGTTCTGAGCGCTCAAAGGCTGCCTCATGGTCCTGGCCATTCCATTCTTATGCTATGGAGATGAAAGACCAAAAGAGAGTGAAATATTTATGGGAACATGTGAGAGAGTGGAATGTTGAATAGTTGGTTCGACATTATTTTGGTGGGAATGCCAAGTAGCTGGTGGGGTGAAGAACCCACCCCATGTGTTAAAAGCAACCCCAGAGAGCCGTGGAAAGCAGTGGCTTGGAAGCTTCTTGGAGTTGTACGCAAATTTGTTGACTGTTTGTGTTCCTTGGATTTGGTTTTTTTTCCCCCTTTAGTTAGTTAGTCTCTCTGGCAGGCCTCCTTTTGTTTCTTCGATTGTATCGCATGTCCTGTGGCCGCTTTCGGAAACTGGTTTTGCCCTCTGTTTGGCCAACGAATCTAGCCCAAAGGCATACACACACAGATACGCACGCACACCCTCAAGCAGTGAGATGTGCCTGTGTATTGATCGGGAGCCGGGGCGGGAGGGTTGTTGGTTTTCGACCGAAGGTGAAGGCTCAAACGATCGGCTACCGGTGCAGGTACCACCACAGAATGCTGCACTGAAAGAAAATTCACTCGTCATCATAATAAATCCTTGGCTGGATGTGGGATTCTAAGTGGGGCATTCTCTCGGTGTGGCCATGAGCAATTTGCACTTAATGTGCATCAAACGCCACTAATCACCCTCTGCCGCGCCTAATTAAAGCAAGTGCAGGCCAGAAACGAGACATTCATTTCCACGACAATTACAAAGCCCCGAGTGCGAGTGCGAGTCCGAGTCCCAGCACAATGCAACCCAATCTCAGTCCAGAAAACCCAGCCCAGCCCCAGCGCCAGCCCCAGCCGCAGCGCCAGCCCAACCCCAAGTCGGAAACCACCCATTATTCCGCATGCCGCAAACCACTCGAACGAGAAATGCCGCCAAAAGCGTTTTCCACTCAAAACAAACTCGGTTCTCTCAGAGTGCGCGGAGAGAGAGAGAGAGAGAGAGAGAGCGAGAGCAGCCCGGACGAAAAACCGAAACAAGCCCAGCCAAAAACTGACTCAAGCCAAGTCCGTTGTTTGATATTGACAGACTTTCGAGTTTGGTTTGGCCTACAGTCTGGATTGGTTTTGAGCGGCGACTAAACGTGCGACGGCAGACTGGAAAATACAAGTCGAGACGAGTCGAGTCTAGTATTGAAACCGAAATAAAATTCGAGCTACGGAGTTCCTTCTCGGAGTGTTAGTTGGGTGGTGCCTGGAGAGGGGAGCCAGGGCTTGCAGGGCGGTGCGTGAAGTGCGTCAAGTTTTTTACAACAGACAAATATCGCAAGATACTCGTAAAGCCATAAAAATATCCATAAAATGCTCGAAATTTTGTCACGCCCGAAACGCTGAACCACACACACACACACACTTGCGTTTAGAAAGAGTAAAACTTAAAGAAGAAGCAAAATATCTCTGGGTTTTGGGAGTCTCTGGTCTTTTGAGGTTCCGTTGCCCAGAAGAACGAGCGAACGCCGCTCTGCTGTTGCTTCAAAAAGGTGTGGTTGTTTGTTGTATGTGGCCTGGTCTCAAAGCGCTAAGAGCACACCTAAGAGATACAAGCCACACACTCACAGATACGCGTACGCGCAAGAGTGCCAGAGTGTGTGTCTGTGTGTGCGCGTTTGGCAAGAGCTGGCATAGTTTGTTGTTGCAGCTCGGATGCAAAAATAAGTAGAGATATGTACATACATATATGTGGACAGACGAAATGCAGCCGAGATACAATACTTTCGTATCTGCCAGCTTGCCAATGCCGGGTCAATGCCAATGCGGCATTGGAAGCGCCACAAAGAGCAACAGTGAAACGGAACCATGCCGCAGACCGCATAAGACTCTCCTCTTCCCTCTGTACGGCTCTTGCTCAAAGTATCTGGCGGATACACCAACTTGTTGGTCTACAACTGGAGGAGGCTCGTCCCCTAATCGTCGGCGACTGGTGCCGTGCCTGCCTCCTGTTGTGGCAAGTAAAGAAGAACCGAAAAAACGCGCCAAAGACTGCCACAAAGGCGAGAGGGTGGAAACGGGTACGACTAGAGTGAAGCAAAGAGAGAGCGAGATACAGAGCGGAAGAGCAAGAGAGGGAGAGAGAGAGGTGGGGTGGTGGCGGTGGCGGTAGTGAGAGCCCGAAAAGTGTGTGGAAAAGAGCCAGCAAACGTGTCATCCGCATCTGCGAGTACCAACCCAACACTTTTGTAGATACATCTGTGCCAGTGCCAGTGGCAGTGCCAGTGCAAGTGCAAAAAGGAAAAATGAATGAAAAACTGTAAATGGCAAAATATATAATTCTGAAAATGATTTTCGAATTATTAGCAATGTTACAAAACAGTCGGCGGGCATAAGACTGCGACGAAACAACCGAAAAAGTGCGCCGCAACAGATCCAAAGATCCCATACAAGTCCTGTACTTCCCTACAGTGTTCTCATTGTTTTTGTTTTGTATCCCCTTAGATTCGAAATATCGACCAAGAGTGCTTACAAACAAAGTATTTACTTAAGTAATCCACCGAAAAAAAAATCAAAAAATAAAACATCTTTAAAGTAAAGAACCCACCAAATCATGTCCAAGGCACAACCCATGTCAAAGTCCTTTACGGACGAGGATCTGGCCAACATACGTAAGCCCAGACCCTTCCATCTGGGCCAGTTCTTATATAACTCCGAGACGGGCACGGTCATGAACAGGGATCGTGCATCATGGGGTAAGTTATAGGCGGCTGCTCGGCTGGCTACTCGTAATATTTAAATGGATTTTCTAGTAGTTTAGATATTGGTATTTCCAATGGGGTAATTATTACCTCGACTCTCAGTCGTAGAACAGGCAAACGTGATTATTTTGGATCTACTTTGTTTCAACCCCAATCATAAATCACTTGGTATGCCTATACTTAAAACCTCTCTCTGGAGCCTTCACTGTACGAGTAATGTGTACCCTCAATACCTCCCCATTTCCATGTCGAATGGCTCACATTTTCGTTGAGAGTTATTTTAATTACAGTCGTTCCATTAGACCTTTTTGTGGGTTGTGAATGGTGGCTGGTGGCTGGTGGCTGGGGTTGACACACTTCGAGGAGTGGAGTGGAGCGGAATGGGGAGTCGCTGGTTGCACTTGAAGTGCAATTTCGTTAGAGGAACGAATGCTGGCCAAATTAACATGATACAGAAAAGTGTTCGCGAATGGGGTCGAGCCTTGGGAACCTGCATCTCTGTGTCTCTCTGGCAATTGCCGCTACTTAAGCAATCGGATATAGTACATGTTTTCATCTTTCAATTGGATGGAAAGGTTGTGCCTCTGCTGGGGTCGCCAAAAGTCTGACTATTGGCATTTAAAAAGATATTCTTGGCAAGCCCAAGGCCCACTGGCTATATATAGACCTATATACGAGTGTCTAGTGTGCAATGCAATTATGCTGAAATGGGCATGGCGAAAGCCCGAACCAAAGGAAAATCCAAATAAAAAGAAGAGCATGGGAAATAGTGGAAAATCTCTAATATTCGAAATATCTTTCTCTCTGTGAGAACATCTCTTTGAACTGCATTCGCAATGAAAACAAAGCAACAAAATAATGAGAATAATGGAACAGCTTTCAAAGAAATTTAGTACTTCTTTGGGGCTCTGTTTTTGTTTGGAGTTCTCTTGAAAACACAAAGAAACAATGGCTTTAATTAGTAGTTCTCTTATTTTCTTTGTTCATTGCCTGGAGCTATGTTTTCCGAGTACTTTTCTCCAAATACAAAACTCAATAGCAGCAATAAATATTTCTAAATTCTATTGACCCCAAGCATACACTTTGATCTTGGCTTGAACTCACTCTCTTTGCTCGGGGTTCCTCTCTTTCCCTCTTTGGGTTCGAGCTCTGTTAAATATCTCTTGGCATTTGCTGGCCAACTTCTTCTGGGAGTTGAGGTTATGTCGATACTACTCCGCTCTTCAGAGGCACAAACCCGCACACATACGTACGTAGTACCCGAAGAGCGATCACTCAACACACTCGCACGCACACACCCGTTTGGAGAGCTCTAATTGCTTGCTCTTGAGCGCATCCGACTCATTAAGAGAATTCTCTTAAGAAAATCTAAGAGTCCCAGCGCGAGTCTATCTATACGTACTTATAGATATATGTGTGTATTATTATTATTGTATCTGGATGATTCAGAGAACGGCTTGGCGGTGCTCGGCGTCAGTTGGCCGCCACTTTCCACGAACTCGAGAACTTGGGTTTCCGATTCCCCAGCTTTGTTTATATCTGAGTAATGCCGGCTGTCTGGGTGCCCCCTTGGTGATTGCCCCGTCGATTAATTAGACGGTTAACCCATCGTTGACCGACGACAACTCTCAAGTGATTAATTCAATCATCTCAATTGAGAGTCTCTGGGGCTTGGGTCGCTCTCTCTCTCAGTCTTCATCTTAATTGTAATCTAATAAGTATTTCCTCTTTCGCAGCCAAGATTGGAATATTCTATGTGGCCTTCTATGGAGTGCTCGGCGCCTTGGTGGCCATCTGCATGTGGGTCTTCTTCCAGACCCTTGATCCTCGCATCCCCAAATGGACCCTCGACGAATCGATCATCGGCACGAATCCAGGTGAGTAGTACCTTGAAGGCGCACCCCAAAATGGGACTAACTTTGGATACATATTCCCTTAGGTCTCGGCTTTCGTCCCCTGCCGCCAATGGACAATGTGGAGAGCACTCTGATCTGGTACAAGGGAACACAGCATGAGAACTACAAGCATTGGACAGACTCCCTGGATGACTTCTTGGCTGGTAATATCATCTGGGCTGGAATAACTAACCTCTTCTAATGCTCTGCAAATATTACAGTGTACAAGGTGCCTGGCCTGACTCCCGGTCGCGGTCAGAACATCTACAACTGCGACTACAACCAGCCGCCGCCGAAGGGCCAGGTGTGCGATGTGGACATCAAGTCGTGGACTCCCTGCACAAAGGAGAACAACTACAGCTACCACAAGAGTGCCCCGTGCATCTTCCTGAAGTTGAACAAGATCTATGGCTGGATACCGGAGTACTACAACGACTCGAAGGACCTGCCCCAAACGATGCCACTGAGCCTCAAGACCTACATTGCCGAGGTCGAGAAAACGCAGCCGCACAAGGTACAGAAGGAAAGGACAATCATAGATCAGTATTATTATGAACACTTATTTATAGCTCAACACGATCTGGGTGTCGTGCGAGGGCGAGAACCCTGCCGATCAGGAGAACATTGGAGCTGTCAACTACTTGCCCGTTCGGGGCTTCCCCGGCTACTTCTATCCCTACCAGAACTCCGAGGGATACCTGAGTCCTCTGGTGGCTGTTCACTTCCAGCGTCCCAGGCGTGAGTGGTCCCAGCAGTCCCTTCGAAGATCGTTCACTACATGTATACGTATCCCTTCCCCTTTCAGGTGGCATCATCATCAATGTGGAGTGCAAGGCCTGGGCCCGGAACATCCATCACGATCGCAAGGAGAGGATCGGCTCGGTGCACTACGAGCTGCTGATTGACTAATCTGGGATCGATCAGATGGATATGATGGATGTTGTGAACTATTATATGTAGACCTAGGAGACACACCGTACGGGCGATCCAGAGTCCACGAGACACCAAATCTATGAACGTTGCTAAATTGCAAAATTAATTGTGAAACAGTCCCACGCGAAACAAGAAACATTTTTTGGATATAACTATTTACTATTTACCATTTACCGTTTACTATTTAATGTGTAGTCACCTTTACACGATATTTTGAAATTTGAAAACCCCATAGATGCTCCGTAAACCACAAATTAACGTAAATTTCTTAGATATCACAATTTAATAAATTCGAATCTCTTCTTATACAGAAAATATATAGCTATAAAAAATATATATTTAGCGAGAATGTAGTGTACCGCCTAAGAGATGATTTTAATGATTATGAGCAATGTTTTTGCATTACAAAACAAACAAAAAACAAAACAAAATAATAATGATAAATTTCATAATAGTTTACAAAACTGAAGGCCGAAATGGGGAAAGAAATTAAGAAGAACAACATTATTATTATAATAATACCATCCCTAATAATAATAATAATAATAATAACGAAGGCTAGCCAAGTATGAATCTCATTAAGCGCTGCGAAAAATGTTTTAAATGAAAATCAAATTCAAACTGCCATTTCAACAAAATTTGACTACCATTTCTGGCAAAAGAGAGATAAATAAAAGTACATTTTAAACACATAATCGCCCTTTAGATATTTAAATTTATAATGATTACTATATAGCGAAAGAAATGTTTACTAACTGCACCGACAAATCCTTTTACTATACATTTACTCGTGACCACCACAGACCAATTTTTGTGAACCAAACGATCCCCTTAATATTACGTAGTTTCAGTGTAGATCATATTTTTAGAGAAATGTTAAAGCCCATCCGCATTACATGAAAACAAGCAAAGAGACAAAGTTTAGGAATTGATATTGGCAACAGAAACAGAACAGAAAAAGAACAGAAACAGAAACATAATTTAATTGTAAGCTCCACTATTATCTATCTACAGAGAGTGAACTGTGGCCAGCGGCTGAGAAATCACTTCACAAATCGTTTTCAATAAAAGTCAAATGAAAAAATAGAGAAACCCAAAGACAAGCTGTGGAATTTTTAGCGGGCAGAAGCGTTGCCACAATGTAACGTCTGAGAGCTGTATATCAGCTGGTTACAACCTACTTAGATACCACTTATACCAACTCATACCAAGATTAGGCAGGTCCATCAATCTGGGTGCTCGCATGCCTCCCCGTCATATGGCCACACATTGGATTTACGTAAACGTAATCGTCTGCCCGGTGCCTGATAAGATAGCGAATGCCTCAAGGCACACGGGAACTGCTGATAAAACAAAATCACTGCAATCTCTGCCGTCACCTCGAGGCACTGGTCACTGGTCACTGGTCAGCGACCATTCGGATGGCCAACTGACAATAAATACAAAACTTAAAAGCCAGATTGATACGCTTTCACCCACCTACATACATACATATATGTAGATGTATATGGCGGTCGTCGAGAGACACATTTATTGAGAACTTATCGGGCCGATTCGGCCAATTGCGTCATTGGAAATCATTAACAGAATGCTGCTGCTGGCTGGTGTTTGCTTTTTGATATATTGTTTATTTTTAAATTGCCAGGCGAAAGGTTTACTTTTGCATTTGTGCTAATCAATTAGGGGTACAAACTCATCAGCGCGACTATCGAACACGTTCCCATTCACGCTATCGGGAGATCGTTCCCTCGAGGGGCACTGAGGGACAGAGTGCCTCAATCAAATGTTGAACGCACTCAAAGTGTACCCGATCGGAGATCAATATTTGGCTGTTAAAATTCACCAGATGAGACAGTGTTTCACAAGGGGATCGATCGCCCGGATTCAGGTTTGCACTGGTACCGGCACCAACACCAGAGGCAACATCAACATCCATCCGATAATGGTGTATTAATCAATGTGCTAAACGAACCTGCAGATAGTTGAAATATATTGTCGATGATGATGATGATGATGGTGGTGGTTTATCGATAGCCCAATAAAAACTCAAGGAGCGAGCATAGCTACTCCAAATCTCCAATACAGAAATAATTAATATTTTAAGTTCTTTGATAAGATAGAGGCTGGTAAAGCCAACAGAATTTATCACTCAGATGGTAGAGATTTCTTAGAGCACTCGAAAGTGTTCAGTTCAGTTCGGTTTTATGGTTCCATACAGGTTTTCTTTCCACATTGACGTAACAGCATTTGTAGTTCTGTGGCTTTTGTTTCAATGATTCCAATCCACAAACAATATCAGCGAAATCTTTTCAAAATTTGTATTCAGTGACGTCAAGAGGGAGAGGAGCCATTATGCTCGATCGCTTTTGTGCTCCGAGAGTGTAATCAATAGATCTAGACACAGACATGCATGTACTGCGATATGTATGTGTCTGGGGGTATATTTTAGCAACCATCTAATTGAGAGCTAATTGGCTACAGAGGATTGTCCCCTCTCTTTCGAGTACAGACTGCAAATAATGACAGAAATCACTCGCTAAATGACAGAAATCAAAACTCATCTCTAATGAGGAAGCCCAATGGGATCGGGGATGGAAAGATCTCTGGGCACACACCCACACACAGACGGGAATCACAGCTGGAAAAATCACAAACACTTCAGTTCAGACCAGATAAACTGGTTTGCCAGACACATATGTACATATACCCCGAGGGGCCAATGGAGTAAGTAAGTATCTTCGGGTCGGGTCTCGGTCTCGGTCTCTGTCTGCTGTAATTATCATTTGCTTAATTCAGAGCTGAGATTCAAGTTGAGGCTCCAGTGCGACAAGGGAACTTCTTTCATGAAAGGAGGATAAACAGGGTTTGGATATAACCAGATATAACCGACCTGTTGGGGCTACAACAAGCAGTGGCAGGGGCTTTTTCCGAACATAATTTCACACATAATTTGTACGGGTAATGGACTCTCCATGGACCATTATGGATGGGGTTTCCTTCTTATCAATTGCTGATTGGCATCTCCTTCCATCTCGCTGTCGAGTGGGCTGCCCCGCTCCACTCCCAATGAGAAAACGGGGAAATGCGACTTACAATTCTTGCACCTAATGATGTGCTGGGCCGACTCGTACTCTTGGGGGATAAAGTCGTTGTCAAGTGTAATTTAATCAATTTATGATGATTACAAAGGGGATGCCATGCCAAGTATCCATCGAGAACAATCCCAAGGATACATTCAGGGGGCCGTCGGTCTGTTCTGGAGTTGCAGCGGGGTGGCGGCGGTGCGGGGCGTAGGAAATGCTCGTTTATGGGGATTAATCAACTCAAAAGTGCCATGACATTGTCAAAAAGCTACTCGTAAGAATGAATCTTATAACGATGATTAAGGAACAACAGAACGGAGCACCACTGAAAGCTTTGTCATGGAAATTTCCCCAACAGGTCGAAAGAACGATCCTAAACATTGGGTTTTAATGCAAGAGGCAGCCAGTGGAAATCACATGCAACGATAGCGGTACATTAAGCATAACGGCGGAGTAAGCACTCTCCCTCCCCCCACTCCCCACTCTCCAAACTCTGGAGCAGCCAATGTACTCCACTCTGCGCGCATGTCGCAGTGGGACAGCGGGAGAGAGACATAGAAACAGAGCGAGAGACAGAGAGACAGAGTGAGAGCGTGCAGCTGTTGGATTAGTGTGTGTGTGTGTGTGTGCGTGTGTGTTGTTCTTTGTGCTTTTTATTTGAATATTTACAAAGATGCCGTTCCGTTTGTCATAGATGACTACAGGGGCGCATTACACTGCCGGAGGGGACTGGGGGCACCGCTCGGCGTTTATGGCACCCCGTTGCCGAGAGATCCGCTCATGGCAATTACCCCCTCAAACGTGTTGTTGTCTGGCCACTGTCTGCGCTCAATCATTTATTCTATTTGCGTGGCCACAGTTCAGTTCAGAGAGGAGTGTGCAGAGGAGAGTAAGCGAGAGAGAGAGCGTACCGTTGGCAAGGTAAAGCACCCACACTTGCACACACACTCAAATAATCGGACAGTAACCACCCACCACACCACTCCTCCAATCGAGAAGCTTTTGCTGTGGCCTTTCCTATGTTGTTGCTTGGCAAAGTGTCGAAAACGTTCAACAGCTGTCAGCGTACACTGAGGGAAAGTTGCAGCCGCTGAGAGCTAATTCTAGCAGGCATAGAATACTCGTAATCCTATGGGTAAACAAAATAAATATCTTTAAATGTATCTGCTACAAATGTCAATCGTGGTAATATCCACTGTTTAAGATACATTTTATATTTACAAAACTGAATTTAATCACTGGGTCTTAATTAGGGGTACTTGGAGGCCTATTGTCGAGCCTTAAAGATCGGACAGAGCTCATCAGACGAATTTAAGTCGTTTCCGACTATTACTGTTCATATGAAGTAATATTACTGTGGATTACTATTACTTACCAACGGTTTCTCGCAGTGCTGGTGCCACTCTTATCTTGGAGCTTTTTGCTGGCGTCCGTCTCGGCTGTGTGTGCTTGCTGGCGGCGAGAGAGCGCCGCATGAGCGAGCGTCAACACTCGCGAGCAAGTAAAAAGCAAAGTAAAGACCAGACCAGACCAGCGTCGGCTGCGTTCAGTCGGTGGCATTCATTTGGTGATCTTAACTCGAGACCGCAACACGCATACGCATTCGCACTCGCATCCGCACCGAGGCAGTGGCCCAGTACCGAGTACCGAATAACGAGAACCGAGAGCCGAGAACAACAACTCCACGCTCCGAATCCATCACCGTAGTACCCAATAACTTCTCTGCTGTGTTCGGTGCCCCCTTCGTGTTTGTGTGTTTTTGTGCTAAGGTTTTTCCTTGTCAGTTTTACAAGTTTCGAAAAGTCAACCCGAATATAATTGCATAATTAAGGAATTTTTCAAATATATCACAGAGTGCTGCGTGTGCGAAAAAACGTCCAACGCAGAACATACAAAAATATATAAATTATTGCCAGAAGAACAGACTGCTGAATCATCCGTAATATCTGTGTACATATATACACCGCACATCAGAAACGAAAAGTATATTAAAATCAGTTTTCGTAGCGTAGCCTTCACGAACCCCACGCCGTCCACGTCATCAACAAAAAAGAAATAAAAATTCACATTTTTTAAGCAATTTTAAGAGGGAAAGAAATTATAAACTATAAACGAACGAGTACTAACTGTAAACAACTAACAGGAAAGAGGAGAGACGAAAAGAGAGCGCCCGAAGATGTCGAAAAATAACGGAAAGTCCGAAAAAGCCGAATATGAATTCTATCAGCCCGCAAAGAAGCAGACGTTCAGACAAATGGTCTACGATTCCCAGGAGGGAACCTACTTCGGGCGAACCATCAAAAGTTGGGGTAAGCAGAAAGCAGAAACCACAAAGCGTAAAGCAGAGAAGAGAACTGATAAATGTGGAATCAAAGCAGGCACAAGAGAACTGTGGAGCAAAGACCCTTTTTGGATCACTATCTCACCCCCTTTCGGCTGTTCTAACATCTCAAAGTTCGCACATTTTGCATTAATATATACATAGGAATCATTCCATACCATCCCATCCCTCCTCCCTGTACAATCTGCATGAGTCGCCTCGACTCTGTACATAGAAACAAAAATGCGATGCGATGCGATTGTTTATATATAATGAGCACACATGTCGGTCATTCGGTTATGGGATCCCACTATATATATGGAAGAGTAGTATGTACTCTGTATGTTTGTCGTCATGTATCACCGCTTATCAGCTCATTTGGCGACTCATTTTGTGGTAGACAAAATAGTAGAGAAAAGCGGGACAGGCTTTGGAAATCTCCACTGCGGGTGCACCACAGAAAAAATGTGTTTAGTCAATGTTTGGGCCTATAAAAAAAAACCAGATAAAAATAATTAAGAGACCTGAGCTGTCGCCCTGATAAACCTAGCCATCATCCAGCGACTTTTATTTGAGTGTAATTAAAACAAAATATCATTAGGATTTATAACCAGAGAGAGAAAATGATGATTTCCTCCACCCACAGGCCACAGTTGGGTTGGCAACGTGACGTTCGGTGGCTGTGCCAGCAATAA